CACACACACACACACACACACACACACACACACACACACACACACACACACACAAAAGTCATTGAATTCATCAATCCAAAAATAAGGCCTTAATTAGCCTTAAAAAGTTTTAAATAAATCTTTCAGAGGTGTTAAAATGTGAACACATTGTAAACAGGATGACTGTATTTGTCTCAAACATTAAAATACTTGGTAACATTTATTTTTTAAACAAACTACCAAATTTACTGCGTTAACAAAACATTTGGGTAAAATTGTTTCTGGTTGTTGTTTTTTTCACATTTGGGTTTATTGTAAAATTGGTCATAAATTTCCTTTCAAGTGGCATTAAAAAGTATTAAAAAGTCTTAGATTTAACTTGCCTTAAGCTGTAGGAACCCTGTTTAAAGCATGCTTTCTGCTTCCTGTTTAATGCATGCGTTGATAAAGTGAATGTATTTTAGGTAAAACGTTGAGTCCAGTCAGGCAGGAGTCTGACCACAGTGAGGTCACTGAGTGTTTGGGAGGGAAATGGAAAGTCCCCCTCTGTCTGCCAAGTCCAGCTCTGTCAGACTGGTGGGGCTAACCTCAGGGGAAATAAAGATTTAGAGAAATGTCCTGATGCATCTCAGTAATCCAGGTAGAAAAAACCAAAAAGAAACAATCAGTAGGTCCTCTGGATGGTTCTTCTTTAGTGAAACGTTTCACTAAAGAAGAACCATCCAGAGGACCTACTGATTGTTTCTTTTTGGTTTAGAGAAATGTTTGAGTTGAATCATCAGGTTTATGTGTAGACTTACAAGACAGCAGAAATCTATAAACATTAAAAGTATCTAAATCCCCTCTATTTTTATTGCAGGTATAGGCTGCGTAAGAGGGCGGAGCTGGACTCTTTGGAGGAGGAGCTTCACGGCCTCGAGGGGCAGAACCGTGAGCTCCGTGATAAGGCCGAGTCTGTGGAGCGAGAAATCCAATACGTCAAAGATTTACTGATCGAGGTGTACAAGGCTCGCAGCCAGCGCCTCAAACAGGATGGCAGTGCCTAAAAGAAGAAGAAGAAGAAGTAAAAGCGCCCACGCTGACCTCAGACCTGCAGCCCTCCCAACAAGCACCAAGAGAACCACGTCCAAACTGGTTTTTGTCTCGACACAAATGAAACGGTAGTTGCATGATTCCGATAGTTCTTTAAAAAAAGGTCAGGGACGGTCAAAGAAAAGGAAAGTTTTCCGGAGAACGAAGGAAGAAGCGAAGTGTTTAATGGGTGACTAAACTATAAGAAGCCTTAGAGGTGACCTAAGGAGAGATGCTGAACTTGTCCGTGACCACTGTGATCCGAACTGTTCTCACAGCCTCCTGGTGACCCAGTTTGAGCTCGCGATGATGGATTATTTACAAAATGCTCTTGAAATTATCCATAGTGATTGATTTTGCTTGTTGTTTCTGTGACACGTCGGCCACATCGAGGCAGATACATGCTAAATATATATTTTGATTTATTTTTTATTTAATGCTAATTTATCATTTGCTTCAAACTGAATAAAAAAAGTGTGACAAATAGTCATTACTGGAAACATTTAGAGAATTTGTATTGCTGAACAGTTGAGTACGTCCACCTCTTTCACTGAGTAATGCATGTTTGATTTTGGAAACGCATGTGCGAGTGTTGTTCTGTTACCTGCATGGCTTCAAAATCATCAGTTTTACTGAGTTCACCTTAAGTTTCCCCTCAGCTGGTGACGTTTGTCCTGGTGGGTGTGATCCACGCTCAGGGTTTGGTGTCCTGCTCTGACAAACACACACATGTTCACTGGCTTTATTTTTCTCCTGCCCCCTCCCTCTCTCTGTCTCAACTGTACCTTTTGCGAACAAACAATCACCTGTTGACACAACAATAAAATGTTGGGTGACGGTACGACTTCCTGGAAAATTCTTTTCAATCAGTTTGATGTTTCTGAAATTCAGGACACTTTAATATTTGATGTCAGGAAATTATTCATCAGGTAAAGGACAGCCAAATAAACCAGTTACATCACTCATCTTTGGACTGGTCTTTGTCTTTCTGCTGCTGGAAGCTTTGTGTGCTTTTGTTTCACCATCTTTGCAACAACGACAAAAAATAGATGAATTGCTGTCAAACGCACAGGGCTTTCCTGCATCCCTTCATCTTTCACAGCAGAGTTTTACACAAATATTGAGAAATAAACAGAAGTCATTTAAACCTTGAATTCTATCACAAACTCATACAGAGTTCCAGGAATGACCCTCAGCTACTACCACACCAAATTTTACATCAATAACCAAAACAGTTGCTGCAGTTTTTGTGTTGTCAAAAAACTGCCGGCCATCTTAAAAGGAAATTAACTCTAAATGTTAGTGAATGGTTTTAAAAATACAATTCTAGTTAGTAAAAATACAATTCCAGTTAGTAAAAATACAATTCCAGTTAGTAAAAATACAATTCCAGTTAGTAAAAATACAATTCCAGTCAGTAAAAATACAATTCCAGTCAGTAAAAATACAATTCCAGTCAGTAAAAATACAATTCCAGTTAGTAAAAATACAATTCCAGTTAGTAAAAATACAATTCCAGTCAGTAAAAATACAATTCCAGTTAGTAAAAATACGTTTCCAGTTAGTAAAAATACAATTCCAGTAGAATCCTCTGTTATCATTCAAACATCAGGGATGTAAAGTAGAATGACTTTTCAGTTAAGACAGGGATGTTCAAAGTGTGGCCCGGGGGCCATTTGTGGCCCCTGAACCGATTTTGTGTGGCCCCTGATTTCAGTTCAAGAATTATCCTTATTTGTTTACAAATTTGTCCCCCCAGTACATGTGTTTGATGTAGATGGAGACTTTGTGTTTATTTTTAGGGCAAATTTATCACAAAGTAAAATCTTATAATAAAAAAATATTGTCAACAAAACCAATGATTTGTCTTTAAATAACCAGACTCTTAGCTTTTTCCACATCTATTCAGTGACTTCTGCTCAGAAGCTCCAATCTGCTTTTAATTAATTTATTAAATTCATCTGAACACAGCTGCATTTTCAACAAAAGCCTGACCTAAATCCTGATTTTATTCATCAGAATTGACTAAATTGGGTTTTTTTCCCCTCAATTGAAATCCAGAAAATTGCTAAATTTCTTTCAATAAGTGAAACCTGCAAAACACTTTTAAAGTTCTGGATCTAGATAAATTTACATCCATTTCCAGCAATAAATCTGACTCCTTTATTTGTTTAATTAAAGTATTCAGTGTTTAGTTTATTGTTGGGCAGGTAAAGGAAAATATTTTTGGCCCTCAGGTCCTTCTGACTTTATGATTTTGGCCCATGTGACTAAATGTTTGGACCCCCCTGAGTTAAGATCACTCATTCTAGAAAAGACATAAAACAGGTGAACAGGTGGCTCTACCTGTTCATCTGTTCATACACAATAGGAAGGTTGAGTTCAAAAAACCACATTTCAGCTCCATGTCTGGAAAACTGAGTTCATTTTTGGAATAATCAGAGCTCTATGAAGTACTTAGAAAAAATAACAAAGTAAAAGTAAAATTACATGAACAGAAAATAACTTTGGTAAAAATAAATTTCACTGATGAGAAAACAAGTAAAAGTCATAAAAATGTCCACAACAACTGGGAAAGTAAAAGTACTTTTACACACTCTCTGAAGAAACAAACTTGAATTTACTGAGTCAAACTGGCTCCACTAAGTCAGGTTGAGTAAACAGAGCAACATATTATATTCTTTACTCAGTTTACTCAACTAGTCTCAGAGGAGCTGACATGACTTTGTTGAGTAAATTCAACTCTTTATGTTTTAGAGCAGAAACATGTTTATGAGTTCAGACAGATTTCATTTGTAATGACTTCACAGGTGTTACGTTTTCAACTAAAGAAGTAAAAGTACCATGTTACCTTTAAAATGTAATGAAATAAAAGTTAGTTAGTTAGTTAGTTAGTTAGTTAGTTAGTTAGTTAGTTAGTTAGTTAGTTAGTTAGTTAGTTAGTTAGTTAGTTAGTTAGTTAGTTAGTTAGTTAGTTAGTTAGTTAGTTAGTTAGTTAGTAAATTCAACAAACAACAAAAYTACAAATCCTAAATTAAATGAAAGGTAGCAGAAGAAGATAAATCTTATTATATCTGCCCCTTTTTCTCAAACAAATAAATTCAATCAAAAATAATCTTTAGTTTATAAAAAATAAAAATAAAAAAGGTTTAACTCCTTGAACAATTCATACATTTACATATTTCCCCAGCAAATTATTCTTTATGGTTTTCTTAAATATACACATTGATCTGGCATTTTTAATGTCATCTTCCTTTAAACTGGTTCTAAATTTGGGTTTGATGAACATTTCTATCCCTTTAAGATTATAACAACTCTCTCTTTTAACAAAGTGTGACTGGATGTTTGAAGGTAATGTGTMTTTATGAGCCCGATACATAACTGATAAAATACCATAATTAACCAAATCATAGAATATCAATAACTCAGCTGATGGAACAATGTATTTGATGGGTGACAGTGATGCTTTCTGGTGATAATTCTTACGGCTGTTTTCTGTAAAACAAAAATTGGGTTTGTAATTGTAAGTAAAAAAAAAGTAAAAGTAGCTATTTTAAAAAAATAACTGGTAAAATTACAAATCCTCAAAAAAAGTTATGTACCATAACTAAGAAAAAGAACTTAGTTATTATAAACCTCTGGAAATAAGTTGGTTGTAGCAGCCATCTTGGACTGGGCTGACCCCAGAAGTAAAATTATTATTATTTACTTTTTAACAGACAGACCAAACATATTATAATCCACCTTCAGCCTTCAGCAGAGGGAGCTGAAGATGGTGGGATTAGAAACAACTCTTTGCCTCTCTACTTTTCCTCACTTCATCATCATCTCATGAAAAACCTGACTTTAGTCGTCACCTGACCTTTGTGGCAGATTTCTGTTTTACTTTAGAATCAGGAGCCGAGGTTAATTCATTCTGACCAAACAGTTCCAGCGAGGGGACCGTGTTAACAAGTGAAGTACAACCCCTCCCCCAGCCAAGTCTTTGCTTTATTCAGACTGATCCTGAGGGCTGAGTGCAGTCATATCAAACTGCAGCCATCAACCGACAACACAGCTGCCTATCTCATCTCTTACAGCTCGTGCAGGGTGTATGCATGTGCATGGCAAAGTGTGAAGGCGTTCATGTGTGTGCGTGTGAGTGTGTGTGTGTTAAATCTCTTGGTATCTCCCCCAGCAGTTGTAGGTCTTTCAAGTGCATGAGGCAACATCGCACAATCCTTGCAGGAGGAAAAGCGAGATGCAAGTGAACTGTGAGAATGAGGGAGAACTGGGCTGACAGAGAATGTCATTAAATCTGTGGGTTTGCTCTGCTCTTCGGTGCTGGGATGACTTCAGTTTAAACAAATTGTAAAGCTGATTTGAAGAGGAATTACATTTTTAATCTCATGTAGTTAAAAAGGGACAACATGACTACATTAAAAGCACATTAAAACAGATTTAGCCAAACAGGACTGTTTTTATTAGCAGTTAGTGGCAGGTCAGTGGTTCCACAAAAAGAAAAGATAACAACATAAACACAATGAACAAAATGACAGCTTTACATAGTAAATGATATGATTGTGGGTAAAATAAATACAGCATTTTGAACAAAAACTGGCCAACATACAGATTCCCTGTTTTTATTACATTTAAACATTTTAAATCCTCACATGTTATTCCAGACATGAGTAATGAATAAAAAGCAGGTGTTTTCATTAGAACAAGTTCAAGCTGTTTAAACCAGAGTTTCTTAACCTTTTTGACCTCAGGGTCCAATTTATTGAACTTAAAGTGTCACGAGGTCCAGTCAGACATTACCAATGTATGGATCAAAATGATAATTATTATAAATGTTGGTTTAATTTTTATTGTATTTACATCACAACTAAACTATCATAACTAACATAACTAAATTAAATACACTGACAGTTTAAAAGTAAAACTCCTGTCAAAAAATCACAAGACATG